GGCATCATCATAAAAATGATCACCTAAATCTCTTAAATCTAGGCTCTGATATCAATCTGTGACACCCCAATCTCCACACATTGCATATTACATAGAATTCATTCATAGAATACATAGATTCCCACATAGGTCCAAAATTTACAAGAGTTTGTACTATAAGTTTATAATACAAAATGCATAACTTAAAAATTCCAGAATACATGCATTTGTTAACTATAACGGCCATCCTCCAAAACATATCCAACCATGATCTCCAAAATCTAAGCATATAAGGGAAATAACCAGAAAATGCCTTTTCCCTTATTTAATATTATAACTGGTATTACCTGCACACGTATTTGAAAACACAAAATGAGGGTTAGACAAAAGTCTAGTGAGATTTCCCTTTTTCATGTTATGCAGGATGAAGATCACCAAAACATTTATCAAATAATTTTTCCACGTAATGAAGGATAACAAAAGAATCACATTCTGTTTGAGTTCATCGGGCCTCTGATTCAAAATCCCATACTTAGAATATAATTGGTTTTCAGTCCATCGGACCTCTGGTTCAAAATACAATACTTAGAAAATATTTCAATTTGGAGGACCAGAGCCTCTGGTTCTACTATACAGAGCTTCTGGTTCCCATCCAAAACCAACCAGAGCTTCTTTCTTGAATAAAAATTTCCCTGAATGCTCATAGATCAATTCCATAGATAAAACATAGTCTTACCAAGAATTTAAATCATATTTTAAAAATGTCATGGAGGACCAGAGACTCTGGTTCTACTATACAGAGCTTCTGGTTCCCATCCAAGACCAACCAAAGCTTATGGTTCACCCGTAAAGGCCAACCAGAGCCCCTCGGGTCTGTTTTTCATAAAAAGATTCTAAATACAGAAACTCTTTGAAATATTATTTTAAAACTATAAATCTAACACAAAGCTTGTTTCTAAAAGATATAGAGCTTTTGCTTAAACTAATAATTTATGAAAGACTAGCATAATTTTCAAATCAACATCCAGAATCCTCTGGTTCCATTATGAGGACCAATAAGAGCCCCTTTGGTTCCTTGGAAGGTACAACAACCAGAGCTCCTTTGTTTCCTCATAATCAATGCTTTTATCTAAAGCATTTTATTCACAACCAATGGTCATGAGCCATATTTTCTCCAATTCCATAACGTCATTACTATCATTTCTACTAAAGATAACATCTCTAAACTCTCAAATCACCAAGAAATGAGAACTCCAATCTGTTATAACTTTAATAGTTATCATAGTAAGAGTTAGGCCAAACAAACAACGACCAACCTTATATCATCCCAATAATCCCCTTTCTTGATATTCCACCCTTATCTCCTCTCATTAGTTCATATGAAGTAGTTCATCCAAAGACAGACCTCAGTCATATATGTCAGAGTGAACCTGTTCATAATTTCTAAACCAAATCATGGTTTCAAAATAAATTTATACTCAAAACCTTTTTAAACCTCAAGAACAACCTGTTCTTCCAAAACAGTTTCAAATTCTGTTTTTCTGTCAAAACCTCTCTCAAACTGTTTGAAACCCAGTTACTGTTTGAATCCTTCCAAAACAGTTTCAAATCTTCAAACTCATAATCTTTATGTTAAATCATCTAGAAAACAGCTTTTCACTAAGCTCTTTCTATACTCAAATTATCAAAACTTAACAGTTCAATATTCACAAATATAAAGGTTTGGTTAATAAAACTCACCTATCAAATAGATTATTTGTTGATTAACACACAGCAAATTCTTTGCTAAACACAGGATCTTCACACACTTTCTTAGCAACAGATTTTTCTTCAAAATCCCACCGCCTTGAACACTCTTTTGTTTACTCAAAAGATTCTTTCTTAAAATAACAGTGATAAGAATGAATCTTATCTTTACTTTTCTTTTAAATATCCCCACCTAGGCAGTGGAGAATATGTATAAATATAAAATTGATTAAGGCGGTGTGACTTTATATTATTAAAACCCACTTTGCTTAAAGGTGAAGATACTATCCTCTTAATAAAATAATACACCATGTATGCACATTATCTATCACACATAGGTTATTTACTTATATATCTATATTTTTACATACATACCATATCATGCATGATGTCACATATGCATAATATTCATGTAATTAATCAATTAATAAGCATGTCATCTTATAATTTACCAAATAATCACGTATGATTTACCTTGACCCAGGTTGTCTGAAACGCGGTTATAACATTGTTTTGCCTCAATTTGTTTGTCACTATCACGCAATTAAGTCCTTGCAGTGAACTAAACAGGCTTCACTTATAGGTTCTGACCCCGCCACAACCGCCATGGCTCCTTGTCCCTTGTTTTATCTCTTTGGAACCTTCATGACCTTTCCCCTCATTTTTACTACAATTTTCTTGGTATTGATCTCTTAAATTACATGGAACCCCAGATTGCATGTCTATGAGTTTTTGCAATATGTTATTACAAACATTAGAAAATCCACAATGAATCTTTATTAGAGTTCTCATATTTTGCAATATGTGATTTTTTCTTGTGTGCTAATTAGTGACGGACGAGAATGTGCGTGTGAGGTGGACAAATGAAATTTCTAAACGCTTTTTAGAGACTTGTAGATGAGATCAATAAAGTGGATTGAAACGGAGGTAGTTTTAGCAAAGAAACTTGAGTGAAGTTGGCAACAAAGCTTGAGGAAGTGTGCCATGTAAAACTCACCCAAAAACAATTGAAAAATCAGTATGATTATTTAAAGGGAAAGTATTCGGGATGGGTGTACTTAAGGAATAAAACAGGGAATATTTATGACCCAGAAATGAATACGTGTACCTTATCTAATCAAGAATGGGAAGATTTCTTCAAAGTTAGTTTTTATTCTTTTTTATGTTTTTAGATATTAAAGACAAAAGCAAGGGTATTATATAAATAATTATACTTAATTTGGATGCAAGGACATCCAAAAGCAAGAACTTTAAAGACATCACCATTGGTATATCCTGAATTATGTATAACTTTGTTCAAGGGGACTTTTGCTACCGGATTTCGTTTTTAGAATTTGAACAAGTTACTTCATTATGTGTTTTGTATTTGAACATGTTATTTGCTTATGTGTTAGATATTTGACTACTTGGTTACGTGTTTTGGATGTTGAACAAGTTGTTATTTGGTAATGCTTTTAAGATTAAATTTTACTTCTATTTATAATTTTATTTATGTTTTCAACATCAAGGATAATAATCAAATCATCATGGATAATAATAATAATAATAATAAACTATACTTCTCATCGTCGTAAATATGTTCTACTTGCGACAAAGGCGTCTGAAAAGGAAAAGAGATAATACGTCTGCAATGACTGGACGTCAATTTACGATGAGCTACTTGAAGGTAGTGATCGGCAATGTGAGTTGTTGTGAATGTCCCCCTGAAGCTTTCATTCGACTATGTGATCACTTTAAAGCAAAAAGTTGGTTAACGGATAGCAAACATATATTGGTCGAAGAAAAGATGGCTATCTTCTGATGATTATAGGTCACATTCAACATTATAGAGTGTTGAAAAACAGGTTCCAGCACTCAACACAAACAATTAATAAAAAAGTTCATGAAGTATTGGATAAAATGATGGAGTTTGCAAAAGAGATCATAGTTCCTGCATCATTCAATCCTAATCCAAACATCTCGGGGAATAATAGAAGGTTACGACGAATATTTAAGGTAATAATAATTCGATAATAGTTGTACAACTTTCCTTACTAAATTCATTTTGACTATTAGCTTTAATGTAGGGAGCAATTGGCGCCTTGGATGAAACTTTAATACATGTTATCGTCCCTATTCAAGAACAACATTTATATAGAGGACGAGGAAAGGGTGAATGTTATCAATTGGCAATTTGTGATTTCAACATGGTTTTTACATTTGTTGTTGCCGGATGGGAAGGAATTGCACATGATTCTAGAGTTTTGTCCGAAGCTTTAACAGATGGTGCTATTGGATTTCCGTTTCCTCCTTCAGGTATACTCTTGATATTACAGGTAATATATTTACTATATACTATTGAACAAGCATTTTATTTATTGTTTTCAAATAAATATTATTAATGTGATTTGCGTATACAAATACTCGAGGATTTATGGCGCCATATCGTAATGTTAGATATGGCTCGGAGATTTTCGTTGTTGACGAGCAATGAACAAGTATGAAAAGTTTAATCATTCTCATGCAGAACTTAGAAATGTTATTGAACGTTCTTATGGCGTCCTAAAAGCACGTTTTGCGGTATTAAAAAGAATGGCACCATTTACACTTGAGGTTCAAAGAGACGTTATTGCATGTTTTGCAGTTCACAGTTACGAAAGGAGTGATGAGTTATTTTCTGAGTATGATCAAACCAACGAGCAAGAGAACAAGGATGAGGCTGAAGAGGTTCAATCGCATGGAAGTGCCGCTGACCAAACATATATTGCTAGTTTAAGAGAAGAAATTGCGACACAATTAATGCAAAATGAATATTGATTCTAGTTGTTATGAGACTTAGTTCGTGTTTTTCTATTCTGCGTTGAATCAATTGACGTATTTCAATTGAATTTTTGAATTTCTTAAAAATAGATGGTAGTTTACAAATGGTTTAAATGATTGGATATTTCAGATGAATTTAATTGAAATGAATTGATTCAGATTTCAAACTCCAGAAATTTGTCAATTTACAAAAACAAACAGTCTTATTGATTCATATTTCAGACTTCAAACGGAAAAGCAAACAGTCTGAGTGATTCAGATTTCAAACGTAAAAAAAACAATCCGACTAATTCAGATTTCAGACTTCAACACCAGCTCTTAAAAATCAGAAGTGAAATCAAACTTCAGACTTCAACAACTCTAAAAAACAAAAGTCACCTAAATACCAAAAATCCCATAACAAATGGTGTTTTTATATCAAAATACAAGCTTCAAAAGAGCACATAATGACATCTATATAACTTATAAAGAAAATGATAAACACACAGTTTAAGATTATCATAAATTTCTGTTGTACAACACATGAAAAATGAATCACATACACATAGTATGTCAACTGCTACTATAATCCAAAAGAAGGAAGGCCAAAGTGTGAAACAAAAATATGACAGAATTCATCTCCATCAACATCACCGCACCCACGACACAGAGTCGATCTCGTCCCTCGCTCCCTTGTATAATTCCAGTCTTTTCGCTATTTCTAGTCTTTTTGACATCAAAGACGGATCTTCGTCTAATAACTCTGCAAGTTGTTTAGCCTGCAAAAACCACAATCAATCCCTTTTTGTTACGAATTTATTACAATTATCTTCCTTTCTTATCTTTGATACAAAAACAAACGGTAATTAACGAAAATGTAGAGGGGATCAATGATGAGCATGCAGCTACAAACCCAAAAAACAAATTCAAAGCGGTGGCAACATTTGACCACAAGAGTGTAACGGTCAAGGGCTTGACCCCTCCTATAGCCCATTTACTCATTTAAAATAACAAAAGCTACATATAAACCCAAAATTAAAGGCTAAAAATTAGAAAATCTGCTAAATAGGATTCGGACCCACACCCTTTTGAGCTATAAACACTATTACAACAACTTAGACCAACCAATCATCACAAACTTTTATTACAAGTTAAGTTTGAAGATATATAGGGGCACATCATGAAACATTACGGTGCCACCAAAGTTGTTAAACCCCTCAAGGCACATTTAGGTGCAAAGGGGTCCCGGGGCCTAGGAGCGAGGCGCAGCATGACGCATGGGCCTTAGGAATGCGAGGTGCATCTTATCAATATAGATATACACACACTCACAGTTACACACAACTCAATTATGCAACAAGTACAAGCCTCCAATTGAGCAACCACCGGTACTTTGATAGAGACAGAAGGGAGAAAGGGTTATAGCATGAACCATGAAGGAGAAGTTGTAAGGTCTAGGTATTCATAGAGAAGGAAGCTTGAAGTTGTAAGGACTAGTTATTTAATATTAAGGGTTTGACTTATATCATCTATTTAATAACCTCTTTTTTAAAAAGTCAGAAGATGAGAAGATGAGAAACTTATTTAATATTAAGGTTTGACTAGGTATTTAATAACTCTTTATGAGGCGTGCCCAGGCCCACAAGGAACCTCAACCAAGGCACAGCGCCTTGGTGAGCCTTGTGAATACGCCGAACCTCGACTTCAGAAAAGCCCAAGATCTTGAGCTTATGAGCCTCAAAGCCTAGGCATGCCTTAGGAGGGCTTTTAACAACTACGGGTGGTACAGAACGAAACATTACTGTGGCATTGGCACTCTTAAGAAACATAAATCTTTTTCTACTACGACGGAACCATGAGTGGTGGCACAGGTCACTATATGCCCATATACAAGTCCACCCCTGCAGTGTCCTAAGTTATACTAGAAGAGTGTAGTCTTTTCTTACCTTGGCTATGTTTTCTTTTACCTAATTCTGTTTTTATGTTGTTGCTTAATTTTAACAACATTTTCTCTTGTCTCAAAGTTCTTCTTGGAACCTTCTTTTTTCCATCTCCTAGAAAAATTGGGTAAATGCTCCCTTTAGTTCGCACAACTTTCACAAGCTGGAGCCTTTCACACTTTGGCCATTTAACAAAAGGTAAAGTATGCGTACATCTTCTCTTACCCCTCCCTCTCCCTCCCCGAACCCTACCTTCGGACAGATTTACCAGGCCTTTTTAGTTTGGCCTTTTGTATTTGTTCCAACTGTTGTTCTTTTACCGAGGATGTCGCCTAAATCTCTTTTGTTGCATTCTGAAACCAATATAGGGTTCCTAGTGTAATGTTGCTTTTCACCATCTCTAAAAACTAAATCCATGGGCTTTGAATAGTAAATTTAATGGCATGAACAAGTTATCACAAGTTAGAAAATGACAAATGTAGAACAAGAGTTACCTCTTTTTTTCCTATTTGTGTGTAGAAGTAGTTGAGTAGATTTTGCTTGGCTTCTTTAACTTGGCAATAAACGACGGCCTTTGGAATCGTGCTCTTGAGTGTGTCGGAGACCATACCAATATAAGATGATACGTTTGATCCTATCCTCCTAAAATGCGCTTCTGCATAACGATCCCCTAAAGGGTCAACTGCGCTTCCACGGTCCGCAGCAGGAATCCCGCGATCTGAAGGTGGGTTTTTGCGATCAGCAGATGACGCTCTGCGATCTGCCGGTGATGGAGTGGGACCTACTTTCTCGACTTCCTGGGGAAGTTTCCGGAAGAAATCCACAGTCAAGTATGAAGACTCCATGTCCACCAACCGTACAACTGTCTTTTTACTTTCATCGCGAAATTTCTCCAATGCTTCACCAGCAGCAGCGGCAAGAGCAGATTGCAGAGTCGGAAAACGCCTCAACTCCTGTAACCGCCAGAGAAATAAGAGCATGTCACTTTTTAACAAGAATGCAAATATCCTACTCCCTCCAAATAAATGTCCAAAATGAAAAAAAGGCACATAGTTTTAGAAATGTGTAATTATTACACTTTTTAATCAACTAAATGACCATTTTACCCTCAATAACAAAAGGAGAAATGAATTTCTCCATCTCATTGTCAGGGGTGGAGAAATGGAAAGTGGACACTTATTTTGGGACGGAGCAAGTAATAAAACAAGTATGCTTGTCAAGTCTGACCTCGGTTTCTCCAATCGACTTCCTGACGAGTTCTTTTAGGACAAAATGAACCTAAAGAATGTTCTTCAAGTAAGTCAAACAGCTCTATGTCAACACTATTAACATATTAGAAATGATGGTAGAATACTACTTACTGCATCCACAGAAGCTTCAGCAGGTCCCCTAAAATAATTCAATGAGCCCTCAATAAGACGTCGATAACCTTGTTCAGGAGCAATCAAATGTGGCTGGTAACCATCAGCCTCTGAGACAATTTTTCTCACATTCTGTAGAGAAAGATGCCTATCGAACGGAAGTTTCCTCAAAGCCGCAGGAAGCTGGTTGTCGAACACCCCATATATTCGGTCACCCCCAGGACGCCTGACATTAAAGGAACAACTCAAAATTCAATCAAATGCAAAATTACATAGGAACAATCCCCAAGCATGGTTCTACCCGACATTTTAGGAACAACCGAAAATTTTATCAAATCCAAAATTACATAAATTAAGGGGCCTTTAACCAACACAAACCGGGTAACCGCTTACCCGGTAAGAGTCACCATCCTCACTTATAGGGTCAGATTCTCGGTCAGCAAAATGGAACAGTAAAATTGTTCGTAAAGACCACCATCTCTGACCGAGTAAGCATCTCTGACCCAGTAAGAGGGAAAAGGTTCTTAGGTACCTGGTAAGAGGCAACAACTGTTTAGGAAACAACCCCTAAGCATGGTTCCATCCAATAAGTAAGAAACTAATAAATTTCCGTAGATATGTATGTAGTCTTCTTTAGCTAGTATGTTTTCCTGAAGAACATTTCACATTGCAATTTTAAAGATAAGATTGATATGGTGCCAATTGCAAACTTGACGGTCAAGAACAATGCTTACCCTCCATCTAGATGCTCCTTAAATATTTTGTCAAAAGCACGGCAAAGTTCCAAGATAGTGTACAATTGAGCCTGAAAAAGAACAGTTTAGTGAATTGAAGACAATTATGTCATTATTTTTTGTAACCGTGGGTATGTGGGCCGACTTACGCACACCACAACTAATCCCATGGGGCCCTGAAGTTAACAATCGTGCAAACCCTCCAATGGTCGACAGGGGACTTTAACCAGTGACCTCTGGGGAGCAAACCCAAGGTCTTACCAGTTGCGCTACCCTTCAAGGTTCAATTATGTCATCTATAATGACGCATACAGATACAAAAGCTACTCACCCCTGCATCAACTGCAATTGGCCTCCCAAGACGATCCAACTCTGCCTCCATATCGTCAACACCTTTGTTTATCAAGGAAGTGATGCCTGGTATTTTTGCTTTGATTACAGATTCCAAATGCTGCACACAGAAGCATCCTTTTGAGATGAAATTTTGTGTAAAAAATCATTATCTACCAAAAGAAGAAAAACTAAGCACCCTCTCCTCTGGCAATAAATGTCCATTACACCTTGATAAAAAAAATTAAAAACATTATAATAACACCTCCTAATCACAGTAACTTTTCACTAAATGTTAGTGAGGTTCACAAAGCAACCTGCACAAAAGAAATTGAAAAAACATACCTGTGATAGAAGTTTTGCCAAATACTCTGAACCCATTTTACTGGCCAAATGACCATAGTCAGGACTTGTAGCAAAATACTCCTGCTCCCTTCGCCTTGCATACATCATATCAGTATTTTTGTTAATATCAGCTTGGGATCTATTTACAATGCCCACCCAAGGATGTTGCAGACGATAAGCTCTGCCTTCAAGGACCTTTAAGAGAATAGTATTAACATCAGAATCGAAGGAGTAACTCGGAAGGTAATCTTGAAACATTCCTTGCAGCATTTCAAATCTTTATTGTTCCTCACTTTCTCTCTTTGACACACTTTTCACAAGCGGGGACTCTTCACAGAAACAGCCACTTTAGCCCAAGGGATAGAGCTCAGGTCTGTGTACATCTTACCCTCCACAGTCCCCACCACCGGTGATATACTGGGTTTGTTTGGTTTGGTTCGTTTGAAACTTTACACATTCATTAAGGTGAGGATACTAGGAGGGAGGGGGAGAGAGAGAGAGAGAGAGCTCACATCCAAAGCATTAGTTCCTTTGTCCATCAGATCAAGCTTTGTCAACACCCCAAATGTCCGTTCACCTGGTCAAAGTTCAAGAATGCATGAAATCAAAAAAAAAAATACAAGAAAACCATGAAAGACAACATTTCTGCCAGTAGTGAAGTAAGCATACCCGATGGATCCACCTCTTTAGCAAGTTTAATTGCATCAGACGTGGCAATATCTTGGTTGGCAGGAGATATTGCTAGAATGATGGAGTTGGGCTGAAAAAGACCAAGCAATCATATCTAAGAACCAAGAAAAGACATGCAAAGAAAAAGATGAAGGGACAACGAGAATACATAATCACCCTTCACACATTTTCCTATAACGCCAGGCAACTTTATCACAAAAAAAAATCAGTGTGCTAGGATGTGGCAGCACTTTCCTTTTCTCAATGGCCCATGAAAATTGCAAGATTTCCTCTTATGGAAAGATTCCATGTTAAAATTTACTTATTTCTCCTTCATCATTACAAATCAGCTGATGGCAATGATTTGGATCCACAAAATTCCCTTATTTATTTTGTTAAAAGGATATTTTAGATATAAGACAAGTAGTAAAAGATGTTAGTTAAACTATGCCAATTTGTCAAACAGTTTAGCTCCTATATGCTAAGTCAAACAATGCATTTCCATGGTACAGAGAAAGTATGAACTTTAAGCAGCACAGACTGATCAACAAGTCTACTAACATCACATATAGCAAAGGAAAAGATGAAGGTAAAAAGTTAAACACAATTGTGTGCAAGTCACAACTTTATAGAAATTTAACCAAGGTTGTGATGGTAAGTAAATCGGTGTAGCAAAAATTTTGCTCAGTGAAGCATCAACAAAAAAAGCACATTTTGGTGGTCATGATGATCCCTTCATGCACACGGAGCAAGTAAGTTGTCACTTATTGCACAGAGCAATACAATTGGTCTTTTCTTCACACACAAAAGTCTGTAGTCAGGATTCTTTCGCCCTAATTTCATTTTGAAAACCATCCCCTCCACTTAATATACATAATCACACCTAACCCACTTAAATTACTAATTTTTTCTTAGGCATTTAATTAGATGATCGGGACAGTTGATCATCAACCTCCACCTAGGCAGGCGCTTAAGCAAATTTTTAGAAACTACTCTTAATTCATGTCTATCTTTTGTTACTCGTATTTACTGGTATATTTGAGAGAGGAGAGATTGTGATGGTTTGGATACGTTTGTAGGCGACCAATGACGGCGCTGATAAGGAGAACAGAAACTAGAAAGTGATGATCGAGAGGATGAGGAAGGGAAGGCTGAGGGGGAAGAAATGAGATGAACTATTGAGGATAGACATGGCAGCCTTAGACATCTCTGAGGACATGACCTCAGATAGAAGAAGGATTAGGGTATTAGACTAGATGTTGGGACTTATAACTAGCGTGGTTGGGCAGAAGGGAGTTGGAGCGGTTGGGGTGGCAGTTTATGCAGGGATGTGTTTTTTTTTTTTTTTTTTGCTTTTACTTGCTCTCTGTGTGTTTTGTGTCATTGCTTAGTGTGTTTTTGCGTTACCTCACTTTCTTACTTAATTTTTCTCACTCTCACCATGTGCTACTCCTTGTTCCTTATTCATGACTGCTCACACATGAGCACCGCTCTACTGTTTGAGGTAGAGGTCAAGTGTACATCTCACCCCCCCGGCCCTACTTTCGAGTGAGATTTACTAGGTTAGACCAGTTTGGTTTGGTTTACCTTGCTTTATGCCATTGCTTATTTTAAATTTAAATATATACGTTTTTTATCCAAAAAATGAAACATTTCCTTTATTTGTAAGCTTTTAATCTTAATTTAGTTTTATGTCTATTAGTAATCAAATCAAACCAAACTAACCCAATAAATCCCACACAAAAGTAGGTTGTGGGGGTAGAAGGTACCCAGACCTTGCCTCCACCCCCACCAGATGGTTTTACTCATATTTCGGTCTATTTTTCTTTATTTTTGTCCTCCCCTATCAAGGGATAATCTAGACATTTAGACAAAAGTCAAATATTTGATCATAATTGTCATAAGTCAAATGTTGCATTATTTGGACGAAGAAAGTGTTATTATTTATTAAATATTCATTACCTAATATTATTAGATTGTCTAAATTTGTACACTAATATATTTTATTGTTCTCTAGATTAATAATTTATGTTTAGCAAAACCATATTGATTTTTATAGATAGCCTTTTACTATAAATAGGTGTTCTGTTTGCAAATTCTCTTTTTCTACCAATTATTTATTTGTATATTCAAAATAGATCACTTAATGCATCTGCTTCAGGAACAGCTTAATCTGCACTTAACTGATTAGGCACTAGGTCAACTGCTAACTCCGCTTGGCGCTTTTTTAAAACACTGGTTGAATTAATAGTCTTTACTTGTAGGATCTACAAAAATTTACTCCAAAATTCATCACAAAAAGAACAAAAACAATGACACTTCCAATCATTGAACAATTACACAAGAATTTGGGAATCATATAAATGGGAAGAACAATAGAAAGTTAATTAACCATCCAATGTATAAAAAACTCATGCATAGCTTTGGTCTAATATTTTGAATAATAGAAAGTTAATTAACCATCCGATGTACAAAAAACTCATGCATAGCTTTGGTCTAATATTTTGAACATCAGACACTTTGCAAACCAAAGGACTCCTATTTACTAGTTGGTTACTATGGTATTGTTAAATAGAAGTACAACAGCACACTGATTCATATCCAGTCACACGACATTGCAATCTAAACTATAGATAGTTAATTAACCATCCGATGTATAAAAAACACATGCATAGCTTTGGTCTAACATTTTGAATATCAGACATTGTGCACACCAAACTACTCCTATTTACTAAGTTGGTTACTATGATATTGTTAAATAGAAGTACAACAGCACATTGTTCAAATCCAGTCACACGGCATTACAATCTAAACTACATCAAAGGCTATATAGACCAATTACCATCAATGGATTCATGTGACTGATACAGAGCAGCATTGGATTCATTTTCACTCAAAGAAGCATGCATATACATACATGCAGATGTATGCATACAAACACATGACGGGATGAAAGAATCAAATATATTTGTCTAAGTTGAGTTCATTAACAATAATAGAAAATAAACCACCATTACCTTCTCAACGTAGATATGACGGAGCAAAGAGCAAATAATATTTGTCAAAGTTCATTAACAATAATAAAAGATTAATGAAATTACCTTCTCAACATAAGTCCGCACCATAGTTTCAATGTCTTCAACTATAGTTTCAGATTGTCCCTCTGCAAAGAAATTGATTCTTCGTATTAGATGAAGGCCAATTCAACCAGAGAATCCATTCATAATAATGAAAGGTAGAGAGTACATACCAACAGCAACTTTTGTCAATCCGGGTAAATCAATTAAAGTTAAGTTGACAACTGGAAGAACAGAAAAAGCACAATGAGGCATCAGCATCATTTAAAAAAAAACATGCAAAAACCAGGGGTTCATGATAATCATTTAAAAAACACTAATACAGCAAGTCAACATGATGAATATCAACAAGACACACCCTTTGGCGAGTAGATACTGAGATGGATTGGAATTGGAGATATTTGTTTGGTCTTCCCCGTGATTCTGTCTGTTTCATCCTGAATTTCCTTACGAACCAAAGCTGTAGAAAGGTTGAGATGTTAGAAACTATTGTTATTGTCTTATACTAATGAACCAAAATGTTGACAGGAAGCATTAAAGTAAATTGTTCTTTTAATTAATGCGATTGAGTGAAATACATGCCAATTTATGAAGTTACAAAAAACATATGTGAATGGTTGTACTTAGTAATCTGGATGATCAAATGTACAGATGTATAAGAATTCACATAAAGAATCAAATATTAGAGAAGATATTTAAAATCAGTAGCAGTCACTCCACATACCAAAATCAGTGAATCTCCTCCGGGGCAAATGTCCAAACTCAGCATACTCTTCTTGCCTGCCCTCTGTCTTGTGTAACTGCAACACCAAGGGCCGTCTTGTGACAATCCCTGAAATAGACATGCATCACTGACTAAGTACATCAAAGGAACACTAAAAGGTTAAAAAATATGACCATATAAACATTTATACATAATATGAAATAAACAACTAACCAGATCCTCTAGGAAGGAAATCTCTCCCAACAATGCTCTCTAACACCGAAGACTTCCCAGAACTCTATTATCAGCTCAATTGCAGAAAACAATTAGATAAAGTAAAACTCCATAAATAAACTGTAGTGAGATAAATTTACAATTACAATAGCAAACATATACTGATATACAAGTTAAAGGACATGCTTTAACTTTGACCATTTAAAATGAAAGCACAAAGTTTTCTACGAGAACAGTCAAGGAAAAGGTATATTTTCAAACCCAGTTTCTACAATAAACAAAATATCCTGAAATCTGAAACTTTCATAGCGCCCTCCTCCAACCTCTCTCTCCCACTCCGAGCATACTCATTGGCGTTTGCTCTTAAAACACTTCAAATATACCCAAGGAGCAATCACAGGAATAACAAAAATATTTTGTGGAAGCTTCAATTTAAGATATGTTTTGGGAACTTCAGTTTAAGATCTTAACTAAATGAGTTTCATTCCCATTTCAAAATCTTGAATTCCATGCTTCCAAACACTGCCTGAAGCAAACGATCGAATTTTAGTGTATGCTTTCTTTACCAATATCGCTAGTTATCGTACTCTCACTAACAAATATCTCTCGCTCTGACCGATTCGAAGAGATCTTGAAAACCGAAAACAAAGGCAAAAAAAGAATCCATGTTGAAAGCAATGTTTTAAAACCGCGTTTCATTTTAAAAATAAACGGATCAAGTGATACGATCTTATTCTGCCTTCTCTCACACAGAAATCGGAACACTTTTGAGACAGTTCTAGCATCTATAAATTCAAATCACATATAAGGTTAAGGAGATGAAGAGAAAACATACTTGACCACCGACGACTGCAACGGAGGGAAGAGCATCCCAGAGGGAAGAAAATTCGGAGTCTCCACCCCCGTAGTCACCAAGAGCAGTACAAGCTCTTTGTATACGATTTACCAAACCTATCAAGCTCTCCATAGTCGCCATAATTAATGATATCAAAGGTAGTCTTGTTTCAGACCCAGTGAAAAACCCTAGGAGATGAGATCAGATCCCTACAGAGAAAACACTTCTCCTTGTTTGTGTATACGAATTGGGGATGAAGAATCGGAATTGGATTCAAGAGAGAGAGAGAGAGAGAGAGAGAGAGAGAGAGAGATTGAACAAGCTGTGAATTGGTCGTGATGGAAATGAGAAAGCAGGAAAAAAAGGGGGTGATGCTAACATACGCCTTTGTGCTGGTTTTGAATTTTTACTTTTTTGTCTTTTATTTTAATTGGCCGTCTGCTCCAATTCATTTGGAATTCCTTTTTAACGTTTCATTTTTATTATCTTACATATTTGAATTTTAAAATTTTATAATAAATGATTATTTATTTATTTCTAAATAATTTTATTAAAAGACAATTTCTGAATTATTAACAGGTGAATCTTGTTTGGTAAAAGAAAGATCTGAGTTTTAATGGTTCTAAAAACCCTCAAAATAATTTTGTATTTTTTGTGTCCCATGACCATTCAGCACCATAGTATTATTCTGAATAATTATCAAACAATTAATATTTCATTCTGAATAATTATCAAACAATTAATATTTCATTTTGAATAATTAATCATTCTAACCATATAATAATTTTATACCAAACCATTCAACAACTGCTAAACAACTCCTAAATTACGAATTTAGGCCACACAGTTTTTTATTTATCTTGAATGTAGTTTTTATAAGCTTTTATTATAAAAACGCTTTATGGTATAATTTTTGTTTGGTTTTGATAGTTTTGGGTCCTGCATTTTTTGATGCTCATAGCAAAAAAAAGGTAAAGATGCCCCTACCCCAATTAACAAGACATAGAGAAACAATACCTTGGTTCATGGACACTCGTTCCCGACAAATGGAAGCATCAATAGTTGATTAATAGTCGACCCATCATTTTGGTTAACTTGTAAGCATTTAAAAATGGAATATTAGGCCTCTACAGACAATGTCTCATGAATAGAAGGAGCTTTACACTTCCTCATTCTAAAAAATGATCGCAGTTGTGAAACCAAAAGATGTTCTTATTAGATCAATATAAAACCTATACAAATTATAATTATATGCTAAGAGTTCTTGTTGATTATAAAAACAATCACCTTATTTGCTGTGTTTATGCATGAGGTTCATATCATGTGAGAATCTCAAGAGATCCAATCATAGTGTTCCTTTTGGTGTGAAACTGTTGAATCCTATTTCCTATCATATTTTCTCACAAAAACCAGTATCTTCTACATGTCTACTCTGCATCATTTATCCCTTGGAAACAAAACCCAGATAAAGAAGACTAGCAACAGCCTAACAGGTAAATATGAATCGTATGAGTGCAAGATATTTGAATCAAAAACTTTCATATGCCCTGTTAGCAAATTGGAAGAGTGAAGAATTAACCCACAAAAAGGTAAGTTCTTCAATAAGACAAAAGCAGAAGACATGTCCTTCAAAGATATATAGCAAACTTTAAGAGTATATTGTTGATCTCCCAATGATCAAGTAACAATGTATCTAAACAATCAAGAACAACAATTAAAGCCCAAATCATCATGTCATTGATTGTTTCTCTCTCTATAATATGTTTTTATCTCTATAATATGTTTCTCTCTCTAGAATATTACAATATGAGTTCTTACTAACAACTAAACTAACAAGAACTATTTATATGATTGACCGATTACAAAGTCAAACTACAAAGTAAACTACAACTAAGCTCTAATTATAAAGTTGACTTTTCACTAATGTTGACAACTTTGACTTTCTTTACTCATGTTGACTTTTACTTTGACTCCTTCATTCTTCAATGTAATCTTTGTAATCGGTGATCTTAGTGATCTGGTATACCGGGTACTTCAACAAGTATTCTTGTAGGACCTTCTTTCAGAGACAGTAATATTTCCTCACTCAGTTCATGTCTATCCGTGAAATACAAGAATCTATCTTTTCATTGTGAATAATCTCCGCGGAATAGAATGTGTGGTTTACTGTCAGGACCAATTGCAATTGCTTCTCTAGGACTTGATTGATCATAAGACAAAATTGTTGAAATGATCCAAAAATACAAACTCTGAAAATCAACTATCTCAAACCTCAACTATCGCAAGATGACCAAATGTATCGCAGATAAACATGCGATATTCTCAACTATCGCAAACCCTTTGTGCGATAGTTCCAACTATCACAAGCTCTTTGTGTGATAGATCCAACTATCACAACCTCTTTATGCGATATAATCAATTATCGTAGATAACCGATGCGATATACTCAAATATCACAGACAGTTATGCGATAGATATTCATACTCAACCTTACGATAAACTCATATCTTCAACAGAAACATTTCAAAAACTCATCCAAATTTGATAAGATTCAACTTGAAGCCTCGAAATGTGTGCTACAACATAATTAATGAAGATCTTTGTACCAAAAATGGATTACAATAGGCTAATTTGTAAGATCAACCCAAACACTATCAAGAACTCAGTTATTGAAAGCTAAGCAGTGGTAATTCTAAAGATAAAAGATAAGACTGTAAAGAAAAGGATTGGCCCCAATACATCTTGTATGCATATACTATATAGTATCATAAGAATGAAAGATTTTATATGATATGTCCAATGTGAATTAAAACCTGACCTGTTGACCCTTTTGCCTTTCCGGCGATACGAACGTATTTAAGTAATTGTCGTTCTGTAAGACCATAATGAAAACGCAATTTTTGTTTTTCTTCTAGGCGAATACGATATTGGGATTTTTTCCCGTGAATCTTTCGATTCATTTGGCTCTCATGCTCAATGTAAATTCCCATATCTTTATTGTTAATGTAATGAGCCTATCCTCTATTCTCTTGTCATATTCCAAAATGAAATCAAAATATCAAAAGGAATCACTAATCCAAGACCAAAATATTTGGAGGATCTTCAGAGAATCAAAATTATTATCAAAATCTATCAAATTGAAGATGAAATTGATTCAGATTCCTTCCATTACTAAAACCGAATCAATTGAAACAAGAAATGATCATTAATTCTTCAAAATCAATAAGATTGATCAAGAAAAGTCGATTCTCAAAACAGAGTTCAAAACCTTCAAAAATCTTTCAAAATTCAACTAAATTGAATCAAATTGAACTTGTCTTCTACTCTGATACCAATTGTTGATCCCACAATGATCAAGTGACAATGCATCTAAACAATCAAGAACAACAAATAAAGCTCAAATCATCATGTCATTGTTTGTTTCTCTCTCTATAACATAGTTCTCTCTCTAGAATATTACAATATGAGTTCGTACTAACAACTAAACTAACAAGAACTATTTATATGATTGGCTAATTACAAAGTCAAGCTACAAAGTAAACTACAACCAAGCTCTAATTATAAAGTCGACTTTTCACTAACGTTGACAACTTTGACTTTCTTTACTCATGTTGATTTTCACTTTGACTCCTGCATTCTTCAATGTAATTTCTGTAATTGGTGATCTCGATGATCTGGTATACCCGGTACTTCAACAAGTATTTTTTTAGGACCTTCTTTCAGGGACAGTAGTATTTCCTCACTCAGTTCATGTTTATCAATGAAATACAAGAATCTATTTTTCAATTGTAAATAATCTTCGCGGAATAGAACTGGTGGTTTACTGTCAGATTCAATTGCAATTGCTTCTCTAGAAGACATTGTCATAAAACTTGATTGACTGCAGAAATGATCCAAAAATCAACTATCTCAAACTATCTCAGACCTCAACTATCGCAAGGTGACTAAATGTATCGCAGATAAACATGCGATATTCTCAACTATCGCAGACCTTTTGTGCGATAGTTCCAACTATCACAGGCTCTTTGTGCAATAGATCCAACTATCGCAACCTCTTTATGCGATATAGTCAATTATCATAGACCCTTTGTGTGATAGTTCCAACTATCACAACCTCTTTATGTGATATCGTCAACTATAGCAGATAATTGATGCGATATACTTAAATATCATAGATAGTTATAGATATTCATACTCAACCTTGCGATAAACTAAGATCTTCAACAGAAACAGTTCAAAAGCTCATCCAAATTTGATAAGATTTAACTCGAAGCCTCAAAAAGTGTGTTGCAACACAATTAATGAAGATCTTTGTACCAAAAATGGATTACAATAGGCTAATTTTGTAAGATCAACCCAAACACTATCAAGAGCTCAGTTCGAATAGAAAAATCTTCAAAAAATCAAAATTATTATCAAAATATATCAATCTAGAGACCAAATCATCATGTATATTCATAAACTCTCTCAGTACAAGTTTCTCTCTCTACAATCTCTCTCTCTAGAATATTACAATATACACAACTATTCTCTTCTTCTTCTCAAAGTACCATTAACAAGCTATTTATATGATTGACTAATAACAAAGTCAAACTACAATTAAGCACAATGTTGACTTTTGTTTATTATGTTGACTTTAAGCTTTGATCTCTTCAATCTTTAAGCTCGGTGATCTCGGGTACAATAATATCTAAACTAACACTTTGTCATCAAAGAACTTTCAAGAACACTGCTTTTAAATTCAGTGTCCTTATCATTTCAAATTGATCTGACAAGTTGACCAATCAAGACTTTTGTCCATTTCATAAAATTGATAATTTCTTCGGTTGCAACACTCTTCTGTTAAAGAAAGAAGACCCAAGTATATATATTGTACTCATCTACAATAATAAGAGTATAGAATTTTCCACATAAACTTTGAACACTGAAAGGACCACAGATATCCATGTGAAGCATGTGCAAAGGAGCAGAAATAGAAGAACACTTCTTGGACTTGAAACTTGCTTTGGTTTACTTGCCTTTTTCACAAGCAACACATAACTTCTCTTTGAAATATGACATCTTAGGGAGTCTAATGACCAAATATTTACTAGAAATATTATTGATAGTCTTGAAGTTGAGATGCGACAACCTTCTATGCCATAGCCAATTCTGATTAGCAGTAGCCTCGGAGTAGAAACAAATGTTGACATCAATAGTGTTAGGTGATCCCATGTCGAACACATAGAAATTATCCTTTCAGATCCCAATTAGTACCTTCTTTCCAAAACAATCAAGAATAGTACACTGGTTTTCTTCAAAGTTACAATGAAATTGAGATCACATAGTTGACTGATACTTAGACATTATGCTTCAGTCCATCCACATAGGCTACTCGATTGAAGGTAACCGAGCCATTAAAG